CTTCTTAAGAAAAGGTTAGCATTTAACCTTAAGAGTTCGACCATATGCATTATTTAGCCACTCTCACAAAGAATTAGCTAGAAGCTTGTGGCTCCAAAATATTCTATAGCTGGGAGTTCCATCTTGGTAAAAACATTTAAAATGCACCTTCAAATGCCCATCACCCTACAAACAAATATGTACATATATAATCAAATATTGTCCAGCTATAATAGGGAGTGTAGTATGTTTTATTGCATGATTTTAAAGAGAATAAAAGATAAGACGTTAGAAACAATACACAATTTCAAAAAAAAAACATCAAACAAGATGATAAGAATTCAACAGTGGTTGTTACACTGCATGTTGTTGTCTTCAATGTAGTTGCTCAGATTTCCAAATATAAGTGGGTAAAATTGGTCAAAGTAAAAATTTTAAGCATTAACTGCTCCCTTCAAAAAACTGATAGAAATTAGCAGTACAATTGTCTTAGCTATCCTATGCACATACACACATGACTTCCCCTTTCCTTGTTTTCTTTCTCTTCTCCTTTCCCTCTTCCTAATTGTTCATTCTTTTGAGCAGTTTCTTTCCCTTTTACTATATCTATATACTATATCTATTTCAGATTTTATTTACTTTTTCAGGTTCTTTCACTAGGGAGACAATAAACTGTTTACACATATGGGTCTGCTTTACTTCACTTATGAGTATGGTCTCTAGTTACATCCATTTACCTATAAAAGCCTCAAGTTTATCTTTCTTATAGCTGGGTAATACTCCATTCTATAAAAATACCACATCTTTTTTATCCATTCCTCAGGTGATGGACATTTAGGTTGTTTCCAAGATTTAGCTATGACACATTGCGCTGCTATAAACATGGGTGCACATATATCACTGTGGTATGATGCTTTCAGTTCTTCTGGAAAACTAGCCAGAAAGCTAATAGCTGGGTCAAATGGGACCTCCAATCCTAGCTTTTCCAATCTCCACACTGACTTCCACGGTGCTTGTTCCAGTCCACACTCCCAACAACAATGGAGAAGGGTTCCTTTTCCCCAGTAGCCCCTCCACCTTTGCTAGTGGTTGATTTCTTGATAATAGCCATTCTTTGGGGGGGGAGAAGGAATCTCAGTGTTGCTTCATGCAACTAGAGACCATACTCATAAGTGAAATAAATGAGACCCACATGTGCAAACATTATATCGTCTCCCTACTACAAGAACCTGAAAAAGTAAATAAAATCTGAAAGGTCCAACAGAGATTGGAAAGGAAAGAAACTGCTCAAAAGGAAAGCACATTTGGCGTAAGAGAAGGGAGAAAAGAAAGGAATAAATAAGGGGAAAATATAGACAGATAGAAGACAGCTAAGAAGATTATACTGCTATTTTCTATTGGTTTATTGAAAGCAACAGTTAATGGTTAATTTTTGACCAATTTTGCACGCTTATACCTAATAATCTGATCAACTACTTTGAAGACAACAATATGCAACATAACAACCATTGTTGAATTTACATCCTCTTACTTTTTGAGATTTTGTATCATTTCTAATTTTATTATTTTACTCTCTTTAAAATAATAAAATAAAGCTTTCCCTAAGGAAAAAAAAAAGAAAAGAAAAGAAAATCTCTAGTAACTTGCCTCATAGATAATGAATTCTCTGGAAAACCTTTGGGAACAGAGTCTGCTATCAGACCCACAGCATCCACATGCGGGCAGCAGCAGACTTTTCACTATGTTGTGTTGAGGGGGGGGGGTGGCTTTGATACAGAAAGAATTCAGATGCTCAAAAGACAAAAGTTATCCGAATTCAGAACTATTTGCAGCTGTTTTCATAAATGATGCTACCTTACTACAATGGCAACACAGGTCTCCTGCTCCAGGGGAAAGGCTTAGACAGGCGACTGAGTCCTGGCACAGATTCAAAAAGCTTTCCCTTGTTTGTGTGGCCCTTGCTGGGCACTCCGCACTGCCTGCCCTCCTGCTCTGGATCTGCTCATCAATCTCGGAACCCCTGATTGGCCCGCACTGGGGCCCAGGTGAGGGGCATTGTGCTGAGCTCGCCTACCCCCACCCCCTCTTGTTGCCGTCACTGTTGGCTTCTTTAGCCCCCACCAGTGCAAAAGCATCTTACAGAGAGGCTCAGTCTAGCCCATATTTGAAGTCCCAGCACCTGGTAAAGGGGCTGAGGCTTCCATCCTCACTAGCAACAGCAGCTCATTCACCTTTAAATGTGTCACAGTGGAAAGAATTACAAGTATCAGCAACGCAGGTAGAAATTAAATATTAACAACCGCTGGGAAAATGTGTGTGCTGCTGAGAAGCAGGCCAGCATCCAGCAGCGACAGTCCCGCAGCCTTGTGCAGCGCACAGGGCTTCTCTGGCAGGAGTCACGCGCAGAGACACTCGCCGATGTAGCACCAAGCACGGCAGCCACTGGCAGCTCAGACTGTCTCCACACAGCGCCGGCCCTCCGCAACCATGTCTAGTCCACCTCCTTCCTTCACATATGTGTCACGGGCCCATGGCCTCCCTGAGGTTATGACGGACACCACAAAGCACGCAGCAAGCAGCAGCATGGGGTGTGGCCTCACTTCTGCCACTGTCCCTTACTGACAGTGTGACCACAGACAAGTTGCCAATGACTGAGACTCCAGGCTCCTAATCCTCTGAGGGGGAAAATAACCTCCAGCTCCTCGAAGTGACATAAGAAGTAGCCGGCACCAATGCATGGCCACTAGGGATTAAAAACATCAGCAGTGTGTGTCTCTTTACCCCAACCTTCACTCCACATAGGCCTTCTTAGGTATTGACACTGATATGATAAATGCTTCAAAAGAAGTTTCCTGACCATGAAAAGGTGAAAAGAGAAACGGCAGCTTACCAAAAAGAAAGGAAGCACAGAGAATAAAGGCCAAAGACCAGAACACCTGCTCCTGTCTCTCCTGTTGACCGAGAGGCGAGAGATGCAGCCGAGGGACTGAGCTTCGGCGCGGCTGAGAAAATGACTGGGCTAGACCAGAATCCCACCACGTACACAACAAGTAAGCAACACCCCCAAGACGCCGCTCTCCCGTTCTTGTCACTCTTTAGCTGTGCTTCCAAGCCACTAAATCGAAAGCAGCAAGCTTCAACACTGTAAGTAGGGTAACAGTGAGTAGAGCTTTGCGCTGGGCACTGCTCTGAGACGTTTGCATAGATTTCCACATTCATTCTCACCTGGGCAGGGGTAAGCCAGGAGGGTGGCCACATGGCTCACACTAAGGCTAAGCACACGGTAAGTGGGGAAGCCACACACCAGGAGTCCGCTGGCTCCTCTCCACCACCACGGAGGAAGGTTGTTTCTCCCAGATCTGCTCCCACATCGACCACCCTCCCTCTGGGCATCAGGTGACTTTCCACAGAAGCAACTGCAGAGGCACTCAGGACGACAAACAGGAGCTGGTACAGAGCAACCAAGACAAGTGTTCTGCCAAGTTCCTTATCCGCAGCATTCTGTCTTAGCCTTCTAATAGCCACAGATCTACACGCATATACAAATACATATGGATACACATGTGCGTACGTGAATAGGTGTACACTACAGAAGTATGTATAAATACATATATGTATACACATGAGTATGTGTATTTAAGGACGTACACGTGCATACACATATGTGTGTACATGAACTGGATTTTTTTGTATATAAAATGGATTTTTTTAATTTGAAAAAACATTATGTATTTCTTTATTTGATACCAAGTCTCACTATGCAGCTCGACCTCATAGTGATTTTCCTGTCTCAGCCTCCCCAGCCCTGGGATTACAGGTGTGTGCCACCATGCCTGATTTCGGTGGCTAGTATAGTTCACCCAGGGTTCTGGGGCCAGCGTGGCATGCAGAACCGGGGATTGAATCCGGGTACTTGTGCTTGCCAGGCAGGCGACTGAGCCACTGAGCTAACTCCCCAGACCATAAAATGGATGTTTAAGTATGTATTTTATACAAAACACTTCCGAGTTTCAAAGAGCACAAATGACTTGTCCAAGGCCCCGCAGTCTGTGCATGTGCAGGATAGGGTTACTCTGGAGCCCAACCACGAAGCCCTGCTCTGACCTCCTCACCATACCCAAGGGCCATGGCTTCCCCCAAGTGACAAACAGGTAGGGTGCCAGGGATTGTTACACCAGAAGAGCAGGCTCCCACATCAATTTCTAAAGCCTTGCTTGGCACTGCCTGTGGCATGAGACATCACGCAATTCAAGCAGAACCACATCTGGGGCCCACAGCTATGCCTCCTTCGTAACTTCAGGATGTCTCAGATCTCTCTCAGATGCCAACTTCTTGAGAAAGAGTTGAGTTTTCAAAAATAAACATTCATTCTTTGTGTTACATGACCTCCCACCAAAGAACTAAACAAATGTTACCATGCTACACGTTACCGCTATCTGGAATTAACATGACCCTTTAAGAAAAGTGCTTCAGACTTCCCTGTCAGAGTGTCTGCAGTAAATAACACAATGGTACAACAAGAGTAGTCATTCATACTCACCGTAGGACTTGGTAGGTATCAAATGTTGTTCCTAATCCACTTAGCAATACAGTCTACTTATCAACTTTAATCTCCCAACAACACTTAGTACCATCTATTATTATCATCATCCCTGTTAATAATTCTTTTAAGATGTCATCTAAGAAATCTTTGCTTTATTTCTATTTTGTAGATCTTCCTTCTATAGTAGGCTTTCTCAGATGCTAACAAACTGCACACATTAATTTGTTTAATCTCTCTCTCTCTCTCTCTCTCTCTCTCTCTCCCTCTCTCTTAATACAGTAGAGACTCTCACTGGAAGAGGCACTCAGGACAGAGCCTTCTGTACAGCGGAGCGGAGTGCAGGGAGAGGCCCTCTGTGTTCTCGGGACTGGCTGTTCACACACAGATGACCTGGAGCAGGACAGTTCCATGCACGTAAATCTGAGAAAGCAACGAGCACCCAGGGGACACAGGGCTGCCGCTCGGGCTTGCTACTTACCAGCTCTGTATGAACTTTAAGATGTGCCTGTAGCTTATATTTATCTGGAGTCGAGTAGTCACAGCCGTCAGTGGGACACTTCAGCAAGATGTTACTGTGTTTCTGAATTACATGGCGTTTAAGGCAGTTTTTGGTGATGGAAGAGTAATGACACTGGGAGCAATAATACAGATGTTCTCGGGTGTGGGTGCGGACATGCATGTCAAAGTGCACTTGGTACCAAAAAAGTTTGCCTAAAAAAATATTTTCACATGAGAACAAGGAATTTTCTTTTATACTAAATTCGAATTTTTAAATTGCTATCTTTTTAAACTACTTTATCTCCCTCACGTGCTTGTCCAGGTCGCCCTTTACACTTTCCACCACAAGTCTGTCTGAACATCACTTTCCAAAGGTGGCAAGTTGCAAACACTAAGGGTGCTACCATCTTTGGCAAGATGTGAGGGCTAGACCGGGGCAGAGGCCTTCACTGAGGACTGATCACGGTGCCAAACACCACACTGCACATGCACAGAGCCAAGTCTCCACATCCTCCTGCCCTCCGGGACACCAGGTCCAGCTCAGCCTTCCCACACCCTGCAGCACCCGCGCCCTGGGAGACCGGGGGCTGCGCTCTCACTGTGAGTGGGAGGGGTACGGCTCGGGGCCTCCCTGCCAAAGCTGCAGCCGCTTCCATACCCTCTCTGCTTACCTAGAACACAGCCACAACTTAAAGCGCGACTTCATATTTGTCACATGCCAGAAGCAAGACTCTTCCTGGTAAGAAGCTGGGCGAGGCTGTGGCAACCCTCAGCACGCACACCTGGCCATGCCAGCATGGCCTGCAGGCATGCCGGCTGGCTCCACACAGACTCACACTGCTGCCTGTGACACAGGGTCACCCATTCCTATCTACCATGGAGGAGAGTGGCTCATTTAGGAGGTGTTCTTTGCACAGAGACATAAGTTCCAATCAAACCCCAGGTGACCACAACGTGACGGGAATGGACAGGGCTGCCGGAAAGGAGAGCTCCACTCAGAGGCATGCCAGTGCAGCCTTTCCTTACCACAGTATTCACACTCCAGGTCTCCATAAACCTTCCGGATCCTCTCGCGCAGGCCAGTGTTCATCTGCTTCTTCTGCAAACTGTCCAGCACCTTCATGAATGCAGTGCTACCAGGCTGGTGCTCGGAGGCAGGTTTACAAGAGTCGGGCTGGTGCACATCAGTGTCCCCCTCATTGGCCACCAGAGGAAGAAGCTCTGAGGCCTCAGCTGGGCTTGGCCTGAGACATCTGCTGGGATCAGCTTCATGGGCTGGGAGGGCAGTCACTTCCTGGCCTTCACTTGAGGGGCCCTTTGCACTCTGAGCCACTGGGCTGGACCCAGCACTTTTGGTCTTGGACAGGAGCAGCATGATTTCTTCACCCTGAGTCTGGGCTGAGCCTCCATGCTGAGTGTGCAAGTTCTTCTCGGCACCAGCACGAGCCTCAGTGGAGGAGGTATCGTTTTTTAATAAAAAATCATCAGAAACCACAGCAAGAGAGTGCAGGTCTGCTGAGACCACAGTGGTCTCCAGCTCGCAGGGCATCAGGGCCTCACCTTCAGCCTGGGGGCTGGCCAAGGGCACTTCGGGGGCAGGCAGCTCCACAGGGACGTCCAGCTCCTTCTGGTCCTCTTCACAACGAGCACCTTCAGGACCGGCCTCCACTTTAAGTGCATCTACCGCATGGCAAACAAACTCTTCTTCCACCAGCTGCAGCTGGTCTCCCAGGGCTTCTTGCTGGATGTCGCCTCCTGGCTCCAGGAGGCAGAAGCTCTGGTTGATGGAACTGGTGAAGATCAGCGCCTCCTGGGCTGTTCCATGCACCTCCTTGATGTGGGAGCGCAACCTGATGGAGCTGACAAACTTCTTGAGGCAAACGGCACACACGTACACGAAGGGGTGCTTCCTCACGTGCAACTCCAGCGCTTGGTACTTGGTGGCCCCATGGCCACAGAGCTCACAAGCATAGGGCCACTTGTCACCATGGACCAGCATGTGGCGGTCCCGGTCCAGCTCATTCTTAAATTTGCGCTCGCAGATGTGACAGTCGTAGAGCAGCTGTCGCTTTCCCTCCCTTGTCATAAGGCGGAGCTCATCCAGGGCCTCCTTGACCTTCTTGTCCTGTGGGTCATGAGTATCTCGGATGTGCTTGATGAGGTTCTTGACATCGGAATACTTCTTCTTGCAAAAGCGGCAGTGCTGTTTGATCTTCTTGTGCACCCGCTCAATGTGCACCTTGAGGTGGCCTTTGCTCAGGCAGGTGAAAGAGCAGTAGTCGCAGGCGAACTTCTCGCCAGTGTGCTTGCGCAGGTGCACGTTGAGGTTGGCCTTGATGGCGCTGGCATAGCTGCACTGGGCGCACTTATACGGCTTCTCATTGGTGTGGATCCGCAGGTGCGCCTGCAGAGAGTGCTTGAATTTGAAGACCTTGTTGCAGTACTCGCAAGTGAAGATTTTCAGTTGGGTGGGACCTAGCCTAGAGAAAGACGACAGCAGTTACTGCTGGAGGCCCTGAACTTTCTCAATGACCCAAACAGCAAAGGCTAAGCTCAGGATTAAATGAGGCAGAGGATAAATACAGTGTGCATTCGCTCAACAAGCAGAACCGGAAGAATGGTAAGAGCCAGGCACAGACAAAAGAGAAACAGAGTGCTGGTCCTTCTCAGCCCAGGGGAGAAAAAGTGAGGCAGCAGTGTTGCACTGCAGCACGGTAAGTGGGAGAGAAGCGCATGCAGGGCAAAAGCAGAGACTTCAAGCCAAGGTGAAGGCAACTGGGAAGATCTGCTAAAGACTATCCAGGCTGAGACTCAAAGAGTGAGGAAAAAAGCATAAGAGGAGAAGGGACGAGGGATACACACACACACACACACACACACACACACACACACACACACCAGGCATGCTCCTAGTGGATCTGTATGTACTTTGGGACATTTTATAAAGGACTAGTCTTAACAGAACAAACTGAGTCTCTACAAGACTAAATACAGTATCAGACAGTTCACCAGATTTGACAGTCCAGGCTGGGCTACTCATTCGACCAACTGTAGGCTGGCCCTCCGTCCCATAGTGCAGTATCTGTGGCCTCTCTGTACATACCTACTTCTTCCCAGGAGAAAAGAACTATGTGAGTTTGGGACAGAAACTCCAGTGGAGTTTGCTGGCGGAGCTCTGCCTCTCCTCTTCTAGTGAGGATGTACCTACTTGCCTGTGACAAGCACGGGACAGAGTGAGCACTCAGCCAGCGGTACCTGCAAGCCTGGCCAGGGCTGCCGCTGTGAAGACAACTGCTGGCCCAGGGGACAGCACAGCTGAGGAAGCCGCGGCCGGCCGACGTGGGCCCTGCCCTGTCCCACAGCTCTGTCCGCAGCAGAGCTCATGACGCCTTCCTCTTGCTGCGTCACAGCGGGCGGGCGCAGAGCTCACGTGGGGAAATTGCGCTGCCATTCAGTAGCCTCGTACGCCACTGAAATAAACTGCAATGTGCTGCAGACACTGTGATACATTTTTGCATGTGATTAAAAAGTAAAAACATGGTCTGCCTCATGAAACCTGGCCTTTTCTTTTTTTTTTTTTTTTTTTTAATGTATTTGGTACAGGGTCTCAGTATGTGTGTGTGTGGCCAGCTCAGCCCACCGGGGGCGGGAGGAGATTAATGGCAATAAATCATATATTTTTTTTCCACAACAAAATGGTTCTTTAATTGTAGCCCCCTCTTTTGTTCTGTTTTGTCACAGATGGGTGTTCCACTGCAGTTAGAGAAGCTTTATTTGGAGAAGTATTTAAAGGACTTTTTCACACTTGATGCCAGTCCAACGACTGTAGGTGCTTGAATTCAGCAAAATAACCCAGTATAGTCTAATAGCCCATAATAGTAGTAAGTTGTCAGCACAACTGGCAAAGGTCAGAAGTTGTTGACTTGAACCTTTTACAGCTCAGCATATTAATATGACATTATTTTTTATACCTCATGGTTACACTTTTCTGCTGGATGGTAAAAACCAAGTTAAAGTAAGACCTATCTTGTCTTTTTCAATGTGGCAATATGTATTCTATATGCAAAAGAGGCAGTAATAATAGCAATGATAGCTAACAATTATTATTTTACTACAAACTACATCAACTCTTTAATCTTGATCCACCAGCATACATATTATACAGATGGGGAAAGTGCACGTCTGCCAATCATCCTACGACTGGTGAGTGACCTGAGCCCTGGCAGGCTCCCTGGGGTCCCACTCATTCATCCTCATCCTGTGTACTGCCTGAAAGCACCAGTGTGTTAAAGTGCCTGCAAGCAGGCATAGGGGAGGGAGGGGAGTTCGATCCCCAGGTGTGTAGTGCCACCCCGCCCCCAGGGCATGCTGAGACAGCAATTGAGACTTGGCGTGGTGGCACACGCCCGTCATCCCAGCTCTTGGGAGGCTAGAAACAGGAGAATCACTATGAGTTCGATCTAGCAGTGGGACCCTGAACACCCTGTAGGCCCTTCCCTAAAAGACAAAAAAAAAGCACCAGTGCGCAGCAGCCTGCCCTTACCATGACCATGCGCGTGGAGAAGGCTCCCAGATGGGGCTTCCACTGCACTTGCAATGGCGGAGTCTGATTTTGGAAAAACATCACTGACAACCCCTCAAGGACTTCAGCATGCATCAGAGACTGAAACTGGCAGAGATCAAAGAGCTAAGTGAGGCTCCCCTCTGGCTGCAACTGCTCCTCCTGGATACTGTGCTCAGGTTATCCAAGAAGGACCTGGGACATATTAATAACCCTATAGTTCTATTAATTGGGCCACTAAGCTGTACCGCCTACAACTGGAAAGTCTGTATTTACAAAATTATCTGTACATCTACATTTGATCAACACAGGCTGCTTTGTTTTTAAATTAAAAACATTTAAATAGATCACAGTCCACAAACACCAGAGGGTACAACTCACATGACATAATTAAAATTTTCAAATTTAGAAGTTACTACTAGGCCTGCGCGCTAAGCCCAAGGAATTTGGATCTTTCCCAAATGACAAAGATAACCAAAAGGTGACAGACTTTATTGGTATAAAGATCACTGAAGGCTGGCTGGGGAGATAGTTCAGTAGAATGAGTACGTGCCTGGCAAGATCACTGAAGGAAGAAGGCCTGTATTCATAGTGCTAATGAAATAAACAAATCATGGTATTTGCTCCTCTAATCCAAGATCTACATGGTCTTAGGAGAATCTTTTGCTCAGAGTTTTTAAATTATTAGGAAAACAGCTGATGACCGCGAGTGCCCTGCTTCTGGCGGAGGACCACGAGGCCAGCCTGCAGCTGAAGCAGCAGCCGCAGGATTCTGCACCGAGGCACATAGCTGCAGCAGCTGCACCATTCGGACTATATTATTTCACTCCCTTGCTTCTTGTTCAGTAGAGGGCCTCACATGTCTGCACTGCATAAAGAAATCAGGGAAAACGTAAAAGGCTAGATGCCTTAATCCACCTGTCCTACCTCTTGACTTTACCTTAAAGAAAGAATACAAAACTAGAGGAAGGTGTCCGAGGCCCATTTTTCACAACAGTGAGGAATGACAAGCTGCTGAAGCATCTCAACACAGGAAACTGCTTCGTTCATTTATTTTCTTATTTGTTTATTCATTCCGAAAACGGTTCCAGGCACCAGGGAACAAAAGCAAACGGAACGCTTCGCACTGGAGTCCCCCCTGCTAACTGTAAAAACCAGCAGATAAGGCCCATCAGCTGCCTATGGGAAGGCAAGACACTTCAGGAGGCCAGCTCAGAACAGTCTGACCCGGCTACAGGTCAGAAAAGGCCTCCCTGAGCACAGGACATCTGAGCAGAAAACAAAAAATGAGCAAGAGCTAACTAGGTGAGCAGGAGGAGAACCATCCCAGAGGAATGGGAGCAGGCACCTGCAGGGCAGGATCAAGGAAGGGAGAAAGAGGCCCAGCTGCCTGCAGCACAGAGGAGCAGAAGGAGCGTGCAGGCCCGGGAGCCTGGGAGGGAGACCAGGCTCCAAGACCCTTGTTCTTCTAAGGACAAGAGGCAGCCTCTAACCATTAACAACAGATAAGCTTCTATGTCCAAAATTGTCTCCATGAAGCTGTAATGTGTCCCCAGGAAGTGAAGACATTATTAAATAAAAAAGGAAGTATAATGTGACTAAGTTTTAAAGACACAATAACACATAAAATACAAACTCAGTGTTAGAAGATGAATGCATTGGAGGAAAAAGCCTGGGAGGAAAGACATTAGAACTGTTAACAATCTTGGGCAATGAGATTACAAATTACATTTTTGCTCAGCTTTTTGGACTTCCCAAATTTTCTATGTAAGTCTGTGTCATACTCGTTATAGGAAGAAAATAATAGTATCCCCTAAAAGTTTTAATCTATATTTTACAAAGCAAATTATCAGGTAAAAAAAAAAATTAAAGTCTTTGTTTACTATTTTATAATTTACATAATATTAACAGAATGCATGACAACAGGGATAGACAGCTTGAATCTGTTAATTAAATTCTGGGTATATTTACCTATAACTAGATTGCATTTAGCTGACTCCCTCCCCAACAGACCTTAAATTTATGAAGATAATTAGTTAAGGTCTACAAATCAACCTGAGGTGAGACCAAGAATGATCATGAAATTTAATTCTTTCACACATCCATCAAAAGAATAAATATTTTATAACTTTATTTATAAATTCAGTTGTTCACATTTACACGAATAGAGGGATGAGGCTACAAATTAATGAAACAAATCACATGATATAATAATATCATTTCATAAGTACAACATGAGCCAGAGACTATGCATATAACTCACCATTTATTCTCATTAAGCTAAGATTCTGTTGTTCAATTTTGCACTAATTCACTAGATGGTCCGAGGACAATGATGTGTCAACGGAAAGAGGGTGTCCTTTGTCTATATTCACCAACAGATGAATGGGCAGAGAAGACTACGCTTGACTCATCTGCAGGAAAGTGGGGGCACCTTGAGGTGCACCATGTTAAGTGAAGGAAGTCTGCGCACAAACTGACTACCATGCGCTTTCTCTTATATGAGAAACACGAAGCATCAACAAAGAGCAGATCCAAAGATCAGTAACAGGAGACAGGGACCCAGACCCTTTACAAACACAGAGTAGACCAAGAGGTGGGTGAGAGAGGAGGAGCACGGCAGGCGGGGGTGAAGAATGAGGACGTGCTCTGTGCAGGCACCAACCATCCACCACGCACGGAATCAACACGTACTAGAAGCGGATACTAATAAAAATAAAAATTGGGGGGGAAAAAAAACCCAGCACGAGTTTCACTGGGCAGGAGCTGGGTTAGGCTCTTGGTCACGTCAGCCCCCCGACACAACAGGGCTGGACTCGCTGAGGTGCACTGGGGAGGAAGAGTTTAGAGCCCCACCAGGTTGGCTGGGTGCTCCGGCTCATGCCGGGCTCAAGAGCAGCTCACGTGCCCTCTCCTAGAAACGCAGGGAAACACAGCGACTGCCATTTCTTCGTCCTTCCTCCCATCTAGGAAAAACCTTTCCACAACGACAGGCAACACCAATCACTCCACTCGTGCTCAGCCTCTGCCTGCCGTCACACACATGAGCACGACTTACCTGCTTGACTTCATGGGCTGCTCGTACGGCGTCTGCTGGATGGCGTACTCCTGGTATCCCCTCCGCGGCACCAGGTCAGCTGCAGCAGTCTCAGGACTGGCCGCTCCTGCTTCTGGCGGCCCAGCCTCCACGGGAATAATCTTGGTAGCCCCTGAGGTTGAGGGCAGATGCACTGCTTACTGCCCAGCACTGGCGGCACCACGCCGACCTGGCAGAACCAGGGTTCTCTGGAGGGCAGCGCCTTATCACGGATTCCCAGGCAAAATGTCAGTTTTCCTCCAGCTGACATACGCAACACATGTGAGTGTGTGAGTGTGTGTGCATGTGTGTGCGTGCGTGTGTGTGTGTGTGTGTGTGTGTGTGTGTGTGTCTGAAGGGCAAAGGTTAAATTTTCTAAGTAATATGTTTAAATCATCCCTTGAGGTACAATTTCACTTGACTACTTAAACACATACATGCACAGACAGACAGACAGACAGACAGACAGACAGACAGACAGATAGCACAGCTTCAGGCCTGGACTCGAAATCAGACCACCGCATCTAACTGTCCTGGGAACAGCTATGCTCAGCACTGTGATTACCTGGAATGGCTTCGTGAGCTGTTAAAACCACGCTGATGATGGGTTTCTTCACTCCAGAGAGTTGCCTCGCCTCCTTTCCTGAGATCTTCTGGACTTTCTCTGTTTTCTGGGACCGAGGTCTTTTGGGGGCCTTTTCTCGATCGTCTTCCTTATACTTCTTTTCTAGTTCAAGGTCTGAATCATTACCTAGGGAGCAAACACCAAGATGTATAAACTACCTTTCCAGATCAGGGTCACAGTTGGAGAGCAAGCTGAAGTCTTTAGGGATGGCGGCAGTAAGCGAAGTGGATCTCTCTTTTTCTCCCCTTGGCCCATAGCGCCACACAGTCCCACTGCATCACCTGGGGCCCCATCCCTAGCTCTTCATTCACTCAATGCAGTGTGTATTCCTGGTGACCTACTCATCCCCCCGAGGCATGAGGAATGCACTGATGGATAAAACAGACATAGTCCCTACTCGTATTTTCATGAAGCTGAGAAGATTTCAAGATCATTAATAAATAATACTGCAGGAAAATTCAAGGCTCCCAAGATTCACAGCCCAAAAAGAAACCTGTCACTTACCCCACTTACCCTTATCAGGTGCCTTCCCTGTGCCAACCACGGAAGACATAAACAGTGGTAAGGCCATGCCCTGCCCTTTAGCGCCCTGCTGTCCAGTGGGAGTGACAGACATACAGACAAAGAGGTACAATTGAGAGCTGTTTGCACTTCGTGATGCAAGAAGACACAGACAGGGAGGGCAAGGTCTACCTGTGAGTTCAGAAATGTTTTATGGAAAACAGCTATGTTAAGCTATGTTAGTCGGATTCTAAAAGGTCTCAGTGTCCATGAAAAGCATGGAATGTCCTTTGATGAGTGCCAGGAGGTGAAACTCCCATGCTGGAGTCCAGTAAAGTTGCATGAGGAAGCAAAGCTGTGTCACGGGCTCAAGTGAGAGCACAGGCCTGGCTCCCGCCAAGGACCTCTCTGCCACATGGTGAGATCGTTACATCTTCTAATGGCTCAAAGGAAAGCTAGACATTTTTGCCTGAAATCTTATTTTTCAAGGCAGACTCTAATCTAGAATTTTGTTAAACAATGGGCAAGCCAAGCAAATCCTTTGTGGCACACACTGGGAGCCACAGATTCCCATTTGAGCCCCTGGAACACCACACACTGAAGCCATCTCAGCCTGGGAACAGCTGGACTGAATCCAAGTTTTAAATCTGTGCCATCATTGGGAAGAATTATCTGGAAGGGCTCAGAAAAGTACTCACACACAGTACAGTACAAATCTATCAGCCAGAGACAGAACAACAGTGACCTGGACGTGGGAAATATGGCATTAACCTGTGCGGTCAGGAAAGCTTCAATCACTGGCAGTGAGGAAAAAGGAGCACCCTGTTGAGGGTGGAGAAGGGGGTTTTCTCTTAGACCCACAACCATATAATGTAATATAAGGCACTTAAGAGTCCTTGGTCAGGACACATGACAAGGGCACAGAGAGCGATTCCACATAACCTCATCCAGCACAAGGGTGGGCTGCAAGCACAGGTGCAGGACAGGTGGGCCAACAGGCAGGCATGAGGAGGGGCTTGGAAAGACCCGAGAGATGTGGTTATCAAGGAGGTGAATTAGGAACATGGGCAATGCACAAACCTGCAGAAAGGAAGGACTTCTCAGGAAGGAGTGCTGGGTAAGGAAACGCTCTCTCAGTGTGAGGCAAGGAAAAGCCTGGCTAACGAGGCAGAGTGGCCAGAACAAGCATTCTCAGGTTTTGTTCCTATAAGTGAAAGCTTCTGATGCTTGCTGCAAAATCCAGATGTGCAGGTCCTCCAAGTAGAAATAGCAGACGCAATACACGCGGTCTTAGGGAAATGTTTAATAGACTTCTAACATCAAACTTAAGAGAAAAATGAGTGGATGGGATCACAAAGCAGACAGAACTCTTCAGTGCCCTCCAAAACCCAATGTCGAAGACCAGCACTTACGTCCATCCCTGGAAAACATGGGACTCCTGGGAAGCCACACCTTAGAGCACTGTATCAAAGCTGCTGCCAGTGCCTGCATGCTGGGAGGCTTGGCACGCATCATTCTTCACAGCAGTTTTTGTTTTACTGTACTTTATTTTTTTAGTAGCGATAATAAAAACATTTACAAAGACCTACAAATTGGCTGAGTCACAGAAGTGATTTTGCAGCCTCCATGTTGGGTGATGCACGTGTGTGCATAAATAACTAGAGCAGAATATTTTAAATGCTATAAAGGGCTAGCGCCAACATCTTATGGAATTTTTTTGCTTTGAAAATGGTGTTTCACTTTATAACAGAACTCGCCACAAGATACAACTCAATATGTGGATGCTATGACAGGAATAGATAAGTTCACATAAAAAAGGACCTGCAAAGTATAGCTTACCATAACCTGGTTACAGTGTGCATCAACAAACACAAACAAGCACACACACCCATAGCAAGGACTAACAGAAGAGACCCCATGCTCTGTGGGCGATGAGCAGGACCTAGACTTTGCCATGGGCACCCAGTGTCACTGTGCACTGCCACACTGAGCCATGAGGACAGCAAGTAGGAGTAGGCGGTCTGAAGCCAGGTCAGGTTAAAACAGTCAAGACTGTCTTTCCCATCTTGCAAGATGGCAGGTGAAAAAACTGGGAAGCCAGACACTAAAGAAAGAAACGTGAAGCCAAGAAGGCTTCTGTCAGTGGTACTGGTAAAAGGGTAAGGTGAAGAAGGCAAAAAAAGTCCAGGAAGGGGCAGCCCCACTGCAGCCGAAATCCTGTCCTGGCTAGAAGAGTTGGCAGATTCTCCAATCTGCTATGTAGTCCAGAAAGGCTATGTACAAGGGAAAGTACACAGCTGCTAAATCAAAGTTTGAGAAGAAAAAGAAGGAGAAAGTTCTTGCTACAATCACAAAACCAGTCGGTGAGGACAAGAATGGAGGTACCCGGGTGATTAAGCTTCAAAAAATGCCTAGATACTACCCTACTGAAGATGTGCCCGAAAGCTCTTGAGCCACAACAAGAAACCCTTCAGTCAGCATGTGAGGAAACTTCGAGCTAGCATCACTCCTGGCACCATCTCGATCATCCTCACCAGGCGTCACAGAGGCAAGAGAGTGGTCTTCCTGAGGCAGCTGGCCAGTGGCTTGCTACTTGTGACTGGGCCTCTTAGCCTTAATCATGTTCACGATTAAGAACACACCAGAAATTTGTCATTCCCTAAAAAAATTGACATCAGCAAGGTGAGAATCCCCAAACACCTCACTGATGCTTACTTCAAGAAGAAGAAGCTGCAGAAACCCAGACAGACACCAGGAGGGCGAGATCTTCAACACTGAGAAAGAGAGCTATCCGACTTCAGAGCAGCACAAGGTGAATCACAAAGTGGTGGACTCACACATTTTAGCAAAAATCAAAGCTGTTCCTTAGCTCCAGGTCTACCTGCGATCTGTTTTTGCTTTGACAAATGGAATTTATCCTCATAAATTAGTGTTCTAAATTTCTTACTAAGAACCTAATTAAATAACTGATACTTTTTTTTTAAAAGTCAAAAGACTAGGAGTGGTTTGGATAGAGAAGAGACCGGACATTAATTTTTTAATCAATTTTGTAGGCTGGTAATTTGAACAACTAATTTGAAGACAACATTATACAATATAACAACTATAGCTGAATTCTTATCATTTTGTTTAGTGAAATTTGGCATTGTTTTTATTTTTTTA